TCAAAGACAAGAGCTTCAGATAGCATGGTAACCACCCAGGATCCAGTCAGCAGCTGTGTGAGGATAAGGAATGCAGGTTTGGGCATAGGCTGTCTAAACTCCAACCCAGATTCTATTTGGGATTGCAACTTTCTGAAGATTTGGGAAGAAGTCTTTAAAATTCAGTGGATTTTAGACTCAACATCTTTATCATTTGACCAATTCACACAACACACACTTGTGACCAGAGGGCACCAGGTATTGCTCCCAGCACTGGATCTGAAGTGGTGAAATATGAGCATTAGAGGAGTAAAGAGGTCAGACAGGGGTCCTCTTATCATTCTCACAGAACTTCTTTGCTTGTGAGGCCATGTCCCCATTGTCTTTATGATTAGTGCTGCACTACCTTCTACATCCAGCTTTTGCCAATTTAACATGGATAAGACATGGAAAAGGTTAAAAATCCTGTCCTACAAGATACAGTTCCAAGGAGGTCTCAAAAGACAACCAGAATCCAGCAGTAAGAGATATCCTAAAAGTACTCCTTTGCACCTCTGTATTGCTATAGGTGGCAAAGTTTTGGTAAGAGGAGGGCTGCAGGCATGGCAGCTGTTGGAAGGAGTTCAGGGGCTGTTAGGACTCATAAGAATTAGATGCAGTTCCCTGAACCCCTACAAATGAATGTTTGAAGTAACAGCTGGCTTTTTGGGTCATACAGAAGGAAAGGCTTTCTTTTGTCCTAAATAGCACATATGAGTTTGATCAAGTAAGTACTAATTATATCTGAGCCATGAAGTAATAATCTCCAAGGCATAGTTAGTAACAGCACCTTCCCTGGGAGATGTGATTCCCTCCATCTCTCACTTCCCCTCCCTGCTCCAACAGACCCAGTAAGTACCCAACCAAAACCCTTCACAAACCACCACAACTCTGTGATGTTCACCTTAAGAATGTGGACTGAAAAATACATGACCAATTTAATAAAAGGAACTGGTTTACACAGAATTACTAGAATTCACCTGCAGATTTTCAGAAATTGCTTTCTGAAAAGAGAAAAGAACCATTAGAAGAAGAAAACTCTCAAGTGAAAAGCAAGATGAAAAACTGAAACCACAAGAGGAAAGCTAATGGCCTATGTTGCCGAAAAGGACAGACTTCTACAGAGGGTAAACAAAATGCCAGGGTGGGCCAAAGCCAGAAGCTTCACCTGAAAATAAAAAATGGCCTGCCATGGGACCAGCCGGCTGTCCTAATACAGGACAAGTGTGGAGGGAGGCCAGTTGTCTGAAAGGCTTCCTCCTAGGAGGTCTGTGCCCTAAGATAAAAAAACCTACTTAGTCATGGTGACTAAGCTGTGGACCCCTTCCTGCTTTGGGACCCCATGTTATCTTCCTGTAAACTACTGGTCATTTTACCCTGGTCTTAAACCATTGGGCCTTTTCCCAACTCTCCCCTCCCCTATAAAAAAACCCAGCTTTTTCCCAGTTCAGTGGAAGTTCATCACTGGCCCCCTGTGCTGAAGCCTGCCAATAAAGGTCTCCACACAATGCTACACGGCCTCCTGTCTCTTGACTATATGTTGGCTGGGGTAACCCATGAGTGAGCTGAGCTGAGCTGATCACAGAGCTGAAAAACCATCTAAAAGACGCTTGAAGCCTCAGACTGTGCTCATAAGGGTTACCCCTGGCTGGAAGCTGCCTGAGAGCCCTGGATGGCTGTTCCTTGTGGGACCCCTACCTGGGAAGTCTGTGGCAGCCGGGGGTTGGACTGACCCCTGGACCAGCTGCAACAGACAAGCATACTTCAGCAAGTGTATTTTTCCTGCTCAAGGCTTGCAGTTACCACTTGAGACACTTAAACCTTCTGAAGTAAATAAAAAAAGAGACACATGCACGCACTGAAACCCTCCAAACCTCAGTCAAGAAGGCACATGGACATTTACTATGTTCTTTTACTGTTCTTGTACTTATTCTGTTCTTTTCCTGCCAACTTGTCTAGATAAGGATATTTTTCACACCACAACTATATCTACAAACCCCAAGTGTAAATGTATGTACAAATCCTGAGTGTAAATATATACATTGTAAAGATTTTGCCAGGAACCTAATAGTACATGACCACTTCAGGCTCATCTCTAGGTAAGGACTTCCATTTGATTCTGCTAAAATTAATTCTCATCTAGCCCAGCCCACATCTGGAGCCATGCAGCCTACGTGTACCAACGTCCAGCCTTGGCCTCAGGCTCCTGTTGGAAGCAGTGCTGGGGATGGCACAGTGATCATAGACACAACAGTGACAGCGTTTACTGGGAGATTTATTTTTCTTTTCTCTGACTTCATGCACATCTCCATACAGAACTCCCCCGAGATGACATTTTTAATGGTGCCTGTTACATAAACAACATGATTGGAAAAAGCATCTGCATGGCATAGGGTTGCACCTTACAAATAATTTATTGTACTTAAGCAAAAGCTAGGAGATAAACTTTGATTTTGTTTGCTAATATATAATACCTGAAGTTGCTAAAAAGCCACTAAGATCTATTCAAGAGACTGTCTATTACAAGAAATCTTGCCAGGACCAGGACACTCAAGCAGTTTATGGCCATCTCAGCTATCTGGGAAAAGGTGAAATGGGTCTAATGTTTTTGAAGTTTTGCCGGGTTTTGAGAAATCCAGACATGTATTTTAATATTTGGAAAATCCTGAGATCAGCAAGACTATCGTCTGCAGATTTAACCACAGCTTGGACCTACCTCTTAGCAAGTCTAAAAGTCTTAAAATTGCTGTAAAAACAACAACAAAAACCCCCACCAAATAACCCCAACCAAGCAAACTACAAAACTCTAAACAGAACACAATATTTCTTTTTAATATGCACACATAATAATGGGATTTGTGCTTTATCTTTAAATGACAGAGTAGAATACTGTAATTCTCTTGCTCTCTTCATAAGCAAGCTCACTGGAAGTGTCTCAGTGACTGATTTAAATAACTTGCAGCTTTATGCCTGCTTTTCTGTAGTGTGTGAGAGGTGTAAGAGTATCTCAAAGGCTTTGCAAGACTCATGGGCTCACAGAGCTTTCCTCCTGCCTTCTGGACGGTCCTGTCACCAGCTACCATCACATCTACCTTTAATGGTGGGATATTTTTTAAACATGGGTTATGTGATTCAGTGAAGAGGTGCTGCATGTACACATCAATGCTTTTTGCTGGCAGGCACAGTTTTCAAAGTTTAGCATTTCCTCTTTTGTTACTTGTCCTTACATATTTGAAATTCAGGAAAAATGGGAACGCAGGCCCAACTCCTCACAACATTTGAGATTTTTAATTGAGTGGGACGTTGAAACAACTCTAACACTCTCTGCAGGGACTTTCAACTAAAAACATAATAACACAATGACTTCCTTTTTGGTGTAAGAATCAATCATGTCAAGCACTTAGATTTATGCATCCCTTCATAGGTACTAATCTATGCCACCATAACTGCTTTACACATTTCTAGTATTTACTTTGACTTCCTACATCCTCTGTTAATCAAGTCTTATTTTTCCACGACACAAGCAACTATCTTGGACTTTTCTAGAAGCTGATATGACACACTCTCCTTTGGAAACTATTATAAATCATGGATGCACAGCTAATGCAACAGCTACAGTAGAGTCAGTGCTCATTAAAAAGTGTTAATGTGTTAAGGTCTGTGCTGTGTGATGCAGCAGTGCTGTGGCAGCAATACAACACTGGTCCAAAATGAGATGAAAATCTGAAAATGCTAAAGCCATTTATGGCACTTATCTCCAACAAAGACACTTATTTCAGGTATTTGGAACAAAGAACACAGTGTAGTTCACTCTTTTTTCATCTTTCTACTTCTAGACTGGGAAAATTACCATTATTTTCTTACTATAAACCTCTGGAGACATCATGGTTTAAAAATGTTTTTCTGAACTCTCACGCTAAAAAGCAATCAAGCAGCTACTGAGCTTTGCAAGAAGGGGGTGGCATCTCTGTTCATAAATCCACCTTAAAACAAGTTATCCTGCAGGGAGCCAGGCTGGGTGAACTGAGGCTAGGCAGAAGCACTGCAAAATCCTTTCCATTCCATCCAGAGCCAGCACTGCTCACTAAAGCCAATATTTCACACACACCATACTGATGATCCTAGATTAAAAGACACGTACACTTCTTCAGTGTGCCTTATCATTATCTAAACCACCAGCTATATGCTGACAAGAAAAGTAGAGAGGCTTGCTGTCCCTCTCTCCTCCCTCTCGGTGCAGGGGAATGCCCAGAAAGCTGGCCTGCTGCCTGCTCTGCTAGCACAGTCCCAGTACAGCAATGCGTGATGGAAGTTGCCTAAACTTCAGTGATGGGAAATGTACGTACATTGCTAAGTGGGAGGAAAACAGAAAATGAAAAGAAAGAAACCTGTCTGTCATCCAATCTGCAACATATTTCTGTAGAGAAATGCCGTTTATATATATATATATATATATATATATATATATATATATTTTTTTTTTTTTTTCTTCACAGTGGCCAAGTTTTAGTGATGCAAAGCTTTAGTTTCTGAGAAAGGAACCATAGGTTTGCTGCAGTGCTTCCACTTTCCCTTGGCAGGGATAGTGGAAGGGGGAAGAACTGAGAAAATACCCTTTGAACTTTTCCAGTAGGCTCAGGCAGGACTATCTGCCAAACACACCCCAAGCCAAGCAGCTGGGGAGCCCGGGGGCTGATTCAGTGCTGTAAGACGTCTATCTGAACCTCGCAGAGCACACGGATGCTGAGCTTGCTATCTGCCAGACCGATAGTTTTCCGGGGAAAAGCCGTCCCTTCCCCTGTCCCCCGGCTCGGCGCTGCCCTGGGGCGCAGGAGGAGCCCTGTGCAGTGGCGAGGAGCCGGCAGCCCGGCCGGGCACAGCGGGATCTCCCCCAG